GTTCATGATAAAGTTTTCTTTCGGCAATAATCTGTAAATACAACAAATTAATGTTTTTTTCTATGATTTACATAAATGTGTTGTCAACACATTTATCTTGTCATTTATCTTGCAATACTTCTTTATATAAAGTTATTATTATAACTTTCTAAAACAGATAACGTTAATGCCATATTAAGTAATATTTTAACGTACTCGTTCAGTAAATCCATGCAATATTTTTAGAATCTTCGCTTGTTCTCTGCCTTTTGACGTCAATGAGAATATCCAATCAAATTGCAGCCATTGTCTTGTTGCTCTAATAATTACAATACAATTAAAAATAATAGGCATGCTATTTTAAAAAAATCGTTTTTGTAAAAGCTTCCTTTAATTTCTCTGTATACATAAAGATTTCATATAGTTGAAATTAAAAATATTTTAATTTCAACTATATAAAAAAAAATTTAGAACAATAATAAAATTATTCTAAAGACAAATGTAAAATCGTAGATGCACAATAATTCTTTAACTATTTTATCTTACTAAAAAATATATTCGTCTTTATACTGAATTTATTTTTATATAAACAATTGAAATGATTATAATTTATTATGCATAAATTAATAATGTGTTATGTGTAAATTTCTTATTACTAACTATGACGTTTTACATTAAATATTATTTATCTTGATATGATAAAATATTAAGGTATAAATAGAATGTTTAAATAGAATGAAAAATATATTATTTATTATGCCCATAAATTACCTATAAATAAGAAGCTCGCTCATTTTATGAATTGCTTTTCGATACTGTTGCTGGAACTCATAGTATATCAACATTTATTGATACATAGAAAAGTGAATTGTGTGTACGCACGCACGCATTACACGCACACACACGCGCGCGCGCGTTCTTAAAAAGTATTTGAAATATTTAATATTAATACAGTTTTAAATAATTCCTGGAATTAGTGAATTAACTAATTTTTTTGTATAAAAGTTACAGCTTATATTTGACGATAAATACCTGAATGTCCTTGTGTTCAGCTAATAATGCCAAAATGAAACTTAAACTTGACGCTGTAGTATCATGACCCTATAACCATATTATAAACATTGGTATATCAAATATTGTATTTAAAAATACCATGAGATATTACAAATGTATACCGCAGTCATAACAGTGTCAACTTCCTGTCTAATCTCTAAATCAGTCATGACACCTTCACGATATGCCGCTATGAGAAGATCCAACATTGCAAGCTGCTTCCTTTGCGCTAAATCGAAATATATAAGTATGGTATTTTTAGATTATTGTTTTAATCGTAAAATAATTATATAAAATTATATAAATTATATAAAATTATATAAATTATATAAAATATAATTTATAATATTATATTCAATTTAAGGAATATCTTTTGATTATATTACATACTTCCAATCAATTTTACATCATCTTCTTCTACTGATATATCACTGTCAAAGTTTTGTTTGTATGATAAATATGTGTTTTTATTTCACTCTTCTACATATTTGAAGTAATTTACTACTTATCATAATAAAAAAATCATATTTCAAACGTTTTAAAACTGTCATTCTTTGGTCTCATTTGACTCTGCATCTGCTGTGCGTACAAGTTGATACTGTACAGAAATTCAAAAAACTTGCTTATATTCATGGGTTTAATATAGCCTATAAATCGTTGAATAAATTAAATACAATTATTAAAACAGGAAAGGATCCCTTGCTTAAGAATGACCATTGTGTGGTAGTTTATAAAATTAATTGTTTGAATTGCGAGTCGTCATACGTTGGCCAAACTAAGAGAAAATTAAAAACTCGCATTAAAGAACACAAGACTGATATTAAGAAATCTATTTCTGAGATATCAGTTGTTTCACGTCACCGTGTGAATGAAATGCATGATTTTGATTGGGATAACATTAAAATTTTAGATATAGAACAATCATTGATGAAACGAAGAATTTCAGAAATGATACACCAAATAAGTGGGATCAATAAACAAAGTGATACTGAAAGTTTGCCTGATGTTTATCTTCCTCTTCTAAAGAAAGATCTCTCTCGCACTTAATAAATAATTCTAGAACTTTCTAAACTATTTGACTCATGGATATAAATAGCCGAAAAATATGTGCTACGACCAATAACAACACATAGTGTCACGACAAATTTCTATCTGTGAATTGAGTATACTTGTAATTCATCGATTATTTTGCTGTAAAACAGGTAATGTTTCCTTTGTTTTATACCCTGTTTTAAAAGATATTAATAATAAAATAAATTATTGTAAATTAGAATCTGGAAATTCTCGTTCTACACTTTTTACTACATGACTTCTGACGTTCTAACATTATTATATGAAACAGCGTCGCTTTGATGCAAACACGATCTTTACAATTATAACACACGAGGGTTG